CACGATCACAATGCTTATTTAAAATTAGAAATATGAAAAGTAAGTTCATGTTTTTAGTTTACAGACAAGATAAGAATGTCTTTAAAAAGTATATCGTAATTTCCGCTTGTCTGCAAAGGTGAACATGATGCACGTCCACTATTATATTTATAAATTGAACTTAAATTGGAATATTATTGTGTCTTATATACATAAAATTGCAAGCAGTTTTGCAAAATGTTTTTATTAAAATTTTAAATGAAATTAACATTTAGATATTGAAAACTATGCATTATATTAAAATATCTTTGTCAAAAAGGTAGGTAAAAATAAATATTACTTGAAATGAATTGGCAGCGTGGCAATATGAGAACATATACTAGAAAGAACCACACAAAATTGAGCATTTATCAACCCATATTAATAAATTCTTGAAAGATAGTAAGATTTCATATTGTGACAGTAACATCTGACAAATATTATGATTCCGGGGTCTTTAGTTTTTATTTTGTAGTTTCAAAACTTTAGGAGTAAAACTTACATTTTATCTATAATCTTGGTCATATCAATCAATTCTAAGCAGATTTTGTAAGTGAATTTTCCAGTTTAGATTTCTTGCAGTCCGTCAAAGATACTTTGAAAACGTCGGGTCAAATTGCAGGTTAATTTTTAATTGTTAATTGTGGTAATAGATTTTGCATAAAAAAGCATATTCATGATTGTTTGTTTTAAATGTTTTTTTTTTTTTACATTTAAAATCCTGAGATTTTATGAAATACGACCAAAAATATTGCGTATATTGTCCATGACATTAAACCTTATTTCATTTTTACGAAAAAAGGAGTTGCTTCCCTTTAGCAAGCAATTTAATTTATCTTTATCTCCATGAAAGATGATGCGAAATATTTAAATTATTGGTTGTCTTTTTATAAACTTTATTATTATTATTATTATAATTATTATTGTTGTTGTTGTTGTTGTTGTTATTGCTAAATTATGTAATTTATTGAAACCAAATTCAAATATTTTTTTATTCTATCTTCGGCATAAGTAATACTTATATTTTTAGTTAATGTACAACTTACAGAATTTTTTACATATATAAAGAATAACATAAAATTCCTATTATATTTTACTGGATCTTTTATTTTGTTACAAGTTCTGTTAGATCTATCATCTTCATATTAATCTTCATTGTCAGCATGTCAAAAACAACAACAAAATGACCATTGCAAAACGGTATGGCATGTATATCCGACATCAAATTCGACGTAGAAAATGTACTTTTTCATAATAATTCACTTAAATCTATGTTTTGGTGTATAATGTAAGTACAATAGGTGAATAAAACATTTTTAGTTATGTTTTATTTGATATATATATATACATATATCTAAACTAAATCAACCGAAATATAGGGATAATTGTTCAAAAATCAATGATTTAAAAATTTCTAATTATAACCAGCCAATGAATGCATTCTAGGATCAATCATTTAGAGCTTCTTTTTTTTATACAAAATGTACTAGTCAAGGAATAATGAACGTGAAATTCATACATAATATAAGCGTACATTTATTATTAATTTAACACAGACTCGACACAGTGTTGTGATAGTGTAAAAAGTATTTCTAGAAAAAATATATACTGTTTATATAATATATAGACAGTATATTTTTTCTAGAATTACTTTTTAACTTTGTCGAGTCTCTATGCTCATACACACAGTTTCTAATTGTTACAAAGTATTTTACTAATCATAATTAAGCTTTAGTATTGTTATGTATTTAGTTATGAACATCTTGTACAATATCATTATTATGTGATTGTATGCCTATAAAGGCGCATAATTGAAAATAAATTTTATTCTATTCTTTTTCAATAAAATTGATGAAACGTTTGCAATCAATTTCTAAAGTTTAACATGTATAAAAGTATTTATATAAAGTTTTTATATATGTTCTTTTTTTAATTTACAACCGAAAAAAAAAGCAATAAATCAATCGTGAAAATCTATGTTTTTAAATTGTTTTTATATATAAATTAACTGACCAGTTAGATAATTTTGTTACTATGTTTTAATTAATATTATATATATTTCAAAACTATTTTCAATTATCAGTGATCAATAAAGTTTAAATTTTTTAAAATTCGTTCATTTTTTCATGAAAAGTATGTTTATGTTAATAAAGATTCACCATTTTCTATGTAACACATTTTTTTACTTTTGCATTAATGTTTGTTAGTTTTTGCGAAAGCTGTATATAAAACAGATAAAACGCATTTTTCTAAGGCAGTTTTATCAATCACAATATAAACCTTTTATAAAGTGAAACTTCATTAAATTTGACATTTAGGACACGACTTTTAGAAATTAGTTGATTGATGACTGTAATTTCTTTTCATTACAATTAAAACGTATTTAATTAGGTCAATAAACTGATAATTATTTTTCATTGAAATTGAAACAAATTTAATTAGGTCAATAAAGCGATCATTTCAATGAATTTGTCAGTTCAAAATATAGTCATTGGCTTTATAAACATGACATAAAGACACATTTTTCCTGTTACATCATTAATTATATAAGAAAGTTATTCAAAATGCACTTAAATATTTAAAACGGCAGGTACAAATATTAAAAAATTGTAAAAGTAATTCATTTTGTGTTTATAATTATGCTATATATTTTTTAATTTTGCCGAAATAACAATTGATCCTATTTCGTATTAGTTAAAACAAATTATTTCAATTAAATTTGGAAATCATTTGTGATCTGTCTTTTTCTTAAGTTTTTGTACAAATTTTTGAAGTCTGATTGCAACAAATTAAACTACAACAATAGCAAAAGTATTTTATTTCCAACTTTCAGCATGATACTAATTTTTGACAAAAGAAAAATAAAATTTACCGGGTTTAAAAGGGTGATATTTTAATTTTGAAACACGCAATTTACATTCGAGAAATAAATTGTACAAAGTCTTTAAAAGTGTATATGTTCACGATTATCTAGATTTCAAGTGACGTCAAATTAAAACGATTTTTAAAATTAAGAATACTAATAAGATAACGCCATATATTCTGGATTCTTTAAGACATATATGACGTTAATGATGAGGAAATATTACAGAAAAAAGGGCTGTAGGTCCTAATAATTATAATTTTAAATTCAACTAGGTATCCAAAAGTTAGATTGTAAAATTTATTGCATTTCAAGTCTAGACAGAAATGATGTAAAACACAATAAATTGTTTTATTTTAGAATCTGCATAGATTTATTGTAATCTATATGTAAACTTATTCAAAATTGGAAGGACACTACTTGTAAATTAGGTAAAGTGACTTCACTTCATATGATTTATAATTCAGGAATTGGCACGAAAAATGATTAATTTCATTATGAAAACAACGGGATATTTTATGTAATCCTTAAAAAAAGGGTTAGGTTAAAACATCCACAATTGTTTAGACACTTCAGAATTTAGAGTCTTAATACATGTTATGACACTGTATGACTTGAAGGCTTTTCTGAATATTTTTGTACAAACAACACAAAATATATGATTGTTAAATTCTATTTAAAACACATTTGGTTACAAAATTTACAAATGTATTATAGAAATTTCAGGTTTGAAATTAATAATTCAGAAACTGTTTTTAAAAAAAACACACACAAATATATATGTAAATTTCTTTTTAAATTGCTTTGGTATTATCATTTAAGACAAGGTTTTAAAACATGGAGACTTCGTTTACTGGAACTGACAATTTCCTTGTTTAAATCAAAGACATTTTAAAATGATTATCTTTTAAGTTTTTAGGTTGCATCCTAATATGTTATTTCTATTTCAACTCGATTTGATTTTAAAATAATATAGATATATTTTGATGTTATATGTGTAGTTAAGCCTTATACAAAAGTGTATAACTTATAAAATCATATCAAGATAATAAACTACTTTATCTGTTAATAATTTCATTTAATTTTGCAACTTCTTTCACTTTATTATTTATTGTTGCGTGTGTTACAACAGTTTCACACAGTTACAGCAGACGATAACGACATTATACTGTTTTATGACATATATATTATCAAGAGGTCATGTGTAGCAAGTTAATAATAGTGATTAGTTCAAATTTTATAGTGTCAATCTGTTATCTTAGTTTGTATTCACATGTTAAATAACAAGACGAATTACACGAAAATGATTTTGAAAATCACATTAGTCTTTTGAAGCTAGAAGTGTAAGTTCTTTTAATGTTTTCATGTTATTATTAAGTCTATTCTCAATCCAACAAGACTGTAATTTATTCATGGCATTTTTCGTTAAGCAACTACTGTGAGATTGTTCACCGCATATTCCCACACATAAAATAATGTAGCAGTTTCCCCTTGGTTGCCCCCAGTGTCTAGACAGCGCGTATTATGTTAGAATGACGTAATCCAAATACTGAGATGAGTCTTCCCGTGATAACATTTTTTCTCTTTCTGACAGTTTGATGTTTTTGTCTACTTCTTGATTGAAATTTGAGACAGATTTGAGTACTCACAGTAATATTCTTTCGAACTTTGCCTGGCTGTGTCTTGAATTGCACTTACATTAGCATTTATCATTTATGTCTGCTTCATTTAGAATACTTTTTGTTTTTCCCCGATATCCTTTTGAAATGAAAAATCTATTTTATTCTCTTCGGGTATGCTTCGTCTGCATTTTTGTAAAGGATCTGAGCATAGACAGTTGTAAACTACATGTTTATGCTATTACTTGATTAAATGAAAGGGTTTTCCACCATTTTGTGTGACCTAATTTCATTAATGGTGCATTTTACATTACTTTCTGCATTTTATGTAAATTGAAAATGATTATTCCTATTTCTTTATTAACTAAATGTCGTTTTATATCACAGTTGGATACAAGGTGCGCGACAATGCACACATCTTATGCAAAACTTTGAAAGTCCAAATGTCAAAACATGAAAATATGTTAAAATAAGCAAGCAACAAGGTAAACAAAATTTACCATTCATGCTTATTATTTCCAGTACGTATGTGTATATACTCCTTATTATGAATATTATAATCCACAAGAGAAGAAAATAACAAAAAGACAACTAAAACATAGGTTCCAACAACTTTATATCAACCAAACACTATGACATACAGAAATTAAAACATTTCATGATTGCGCAATGCATGATTATACTGCGCAGATACGAATGTGCACGAAAATGCACTCGATAGAGATTAACAACGGCTGCACATGCATGTAACAATTAGGCCGTTTTTCAACTGGGACACTTTTTTTTATTTTTAACTCTGCATTGTCAACATAACATTTATTCGATATCATACATATGTATAAAACATTTAGAGCATATAAACTACTAAATATAGTTTAACCATTAACTTTCATAGTAGTATTTGAATTTTTTAAGTTAAGAGGCATGCAGTGCAATGGTTGTGATCAATCTTAAGATGTATTTTTACTGAACGCTTGTGTCGTCTGCTCGCTACCATGTCTCGGCAAAAAGTGTTATTATTGAAAAACTGAAGATAACATGGCCTTGGATTAGTGGTGCAAATAGAACTGGCTTTATAATTATAGGTATCTTCACCGCGAGAAAGAATAAGAGAAAAGTAATTTGTTAAGTATTTTATGAAAACTTTGATCAATAATTATATTTTAATGCCTTTAAGGAGTCAATATATCAAAATAACATAGTTCTGAATGTAACAGATTCGAGAAAGACTTTAATAATCGTCAATGTTATTTATACATATGGTGTGGTTATAGAATCAGAGAGAGTAGGGCAGTTATATATTTGACATACATTGCGCATTTACCTTGCATTGGAAAAATGGCATACATTTGTGAAATGAGGACTGTGCGAATGTCTTTATGCAGAAGTCAGTACTATTAATGTCAGGTGTCACTGTGTCAGATACACCATTAATTAAAGCCGTTTCCATTACAGTCATTGAATAAAGTAGTTCTTATCACCGTCATACAATACAATGCATACACTGTTGTCATCACTTCTGCCTTCTGCATTTATGTTGTGCAAATAGTATTTCTGTATCATTTATCAGGAAAATTGGTATCTTTATTAATTAATTGATTGGTACTTGGTTGACATAGTTTGGTATATCATCAAATGTATCCGATTTTCCGGGGCCAAGTGGTTAGCTAACGTCTTTCTCTGTCTTTGAATCACTTGCATCTAGCAACTGTGTATGCTTGAGACTTTGAATTTTTTCTTGTGAAAAAAAAAACTATCCAGCTAGTCGATGGTTCTACTCAGATACATTTTTTCAGTGTTTATTTCAGACACGAGCGGTCGCCTTAGTAGAACCATTGACATTCCGTAACTATTGTTTTATTAGGCAAACTTTGGCACCTGAGAGGATCCAACTTTCTATAAGCTAGCTGAATGGCTTCTTCACATGAAAGGATCCAAAGCAATTGACCACGTACGCCCCAAAGACTGATAATGAATATTAATACATATATTGTGAAACATTAAATTTTCAGTTACCAAATATAAGAACATTTTCAAAAGCATAACTCAATGTGGAGGAGAACTACTTTTGAAATTCATAATTTTATAAAACGATAGAAAAAAAAATTAACAGAATTACTTAATAAGCTAAAAAAAACAAAAGCAAAAGGGCACCATCAAAAACATGAAATACACACGTGCAACAAAAAATATTTAAAAAAATTGCAGTAGGGCATCGTCCAGAGAACACATAACACTGAAGGTTCAAAGCACAGTAACACATTTGGAGCGTCATTTATTGAAATATAATGACTGTCTAGACATGGAACAATGTTTCTTTCCGACGAAAGAATGTCTTTGCTTGATATCAATAACATTTGGTTCAATAATTCTTTGACAGACTTTAAACTCATTTCGAATTGCTAAGAGCATATTTTGATAAAGTAACAGTCAAGACAACACGTTTTTCATAGTTGTTCGTCTAGATTTTACATACTTCAGTTGTGGTAAAGTTTAGGCGGTGCAGCTAAGACACGTATGCATTTTCCGGTGTAACGCGATGAATAGTTACATCTTGATGATATGATAAAGTTAGTTGGCAAACACATAACCATAGTCTGTCACATACAAAGTTTTGACACTTAAACGAACTACATAGACAGTTGTTAGTCGTTTTATAAATATATATATATATTCGTAGTTAAATATCATTGATGGGAAATTGTAACAGGGGGCTGGAATTGTTTTCTGACAAAGGGAGATCCCTTTCAAACAATAGCAACAAGGTATATACCTAAATGTCTAGACTCGGTTTGAGTCTGTTCATGAAAGGCAGTGAAATGTGACATATACCAAGCTCCTAGCACAAAAACGACCAAAAACGGCAAATTGAAAATGTTGCAGTGCATTGATAAAATCTCTAGCAAATGATTGAGAGTAGTGTTAGCTTAGTTTGTACATATCTATTCTACGGTGGTAAAGTATTTTCACTGTACTTCTTGAAACTTCTAAGAAGAAAGTGCGGTACATGAACACTAGTCTTAGTCATTCTTTGAATTTGCTTGTGGTGGTTTCTACACTGAACTGTATCTTTCAAATGATTATCATATAATAACACAACACAAATGAAGCTGTTTAACTTTAAATGTAGCATTGGTACATTGTTTGATATTTACATTTATTTGCTTTATATAACAATGTGTTCTGGTCGGTACAAATGCAAGGTATTTGACATACGTTCTTAATATCATTTCTAAGTCGACGGAGAGTGTACAAAAATAATTATCCACCCTTAGACGTCTGGTGTTGTTTACGTCTCGGAGAATATTCTTTCGAGCTGTATAAAGCATTAACAACCTATCACTTTCATCAGGCTCACTAGATTTAGTGGTTTATAACGCCATGTAACAGATAACGTCCTGTCCTTGAAATCTCAATTACTGGCACACAACATCTGTCAAATCCGTTTGCACTCTTCAGGCATCTTGGGGCGTTGTTACATTACTCTTGATTACGTGCATTCCCGCGCAAAATCAGCCTACTCTATAGTGTGCTCGTGATTATTGAAAAAAGGAGTTGTACTGTGTCTCCAGTCCCCTTCTTACTCTTTCTCCCTGATATTTCAGACTTCACGGGACAAGTAATCATTACAACTCTTTACCGAATGGTAAGATACACCCATTTGTTTCCGAGAAAAATACATCATATACTTTTGATTTTCATTGAAAGGAAGTGTTGAATGTTTTATTATTAAAGCGACATAAGTTGAATGTCTGAAATTATATCATATTAATAATAAAGTCTCTTTCTTTTGGCATGTTTGACATAGTGACGCCATTGACTTAACCATGGATGATGTTGGTTCCGTTTTCAAATATTTTCAATTAAAATCTGCGACAAAACACTTACTAAACCTCTGTTTCTTAAATTTGTCAGACTACTAAATTTTTTGTCAATCGAACTTATATATCAAAGATCATGGCGAAAAAACGTGTTCACAATTTGAAACGTGAGACTCAAATAAGTTTAGTAAACAATAAAGTACCGGAAAACAGGTAAGAAAATTTATCAATGTCAAGTTATAATTTAATAGCTAATATTTTTAGGCAATGAAGATTCTATTTAAAGAAACACCGGATGTTATCAATTAATGTGAGTTTTTATTTATCGGATGACAACTGTCTACTGTGCATATCATAATAACATATGTTACATTTGTAGGACGAGTACGAAAATGATCCGTACAGTTGACACGAGTTTCACGTTCTTTTTTTTCAGTTGCAAGGTTACTAAGGTCAGACCAATTTACATCCATGTCATTTGTATGATGTACTTATAGCATAGCTTTGTAGCTGTATCAACAAGTGCACCTTAGCACTTTAACCTCAAAATAATTAGTGTTCCTATGTATTATGTGGTTTAAAATATATTGACCAATTTTGCTTTTTATATGTTTTTTCATTTGGTTTGGTTTGGTTTTAGAGCGCACAAACACAATTTATATCATATGGCGCCGAAGCAGGAAAGATGATTCTGGCTAACATCGCGTATTGCAAACTTAAAACAACTCGAGGGGTCAAAACCACCACACCTGCTGAAAGAGATGTATACACTCTAGTAATTCGAACACATTTAGTCGCTTCTTACATTTACGCAGGGATAAACGGTGGATGCTCAACCCTGAAAGGCATCCCCTCAGCCACAATGGGGTTTGATATGTTTTCTTCTAGCACAAAAAATAAATATAGTATAACTGGTCACCAAGAATGGACCTTAACGGAAAATTTGGTATAAATTATAAGGTATACCATCTGTGGTAGAAAAAAAAAACATTTGTTTTTTTGTATCTGGTTCAATGTTGTTTTTTTAAGCGGGTAAACTGTTTATGTTGTTGTTAATGCTGTTGGACTTGCCTGAAAAGCCCTTAAATATCTAATAAAACTACTGATGTATAAAGGTATTGACCATTAACGATCATTTTCACCAAGGAACCCTTGTCTTCTAACCTTATACACGCTATACTGTATTCTAAATATAGATCATTCAGCCAGTTAGACACCTTGTACCTACCTAAATGCCAGACTAAACATGTAGAACACATGCATTGCTAAACATGCAGTGTCAGATGATATCAATGCATTCATGTTATATCAGAATTCAAAGAATCCAATTTCCACGAGATCCACGTGCTGTAAGCGTATCTGGTGCCACGAATTCCCTATTCCAGACATACACGAAGTATATAACTTTGTATCTTTTTCTAGATAGTTTGCTAGAAACACATATCTGATTGCAATGGCCCGCGGTTTTTTATTGCCTGTTAACAGTAATGGTTAATGAGCCGAAATTTCTATCGTCTGTGTGGGCTATACAATCTAAGATCGTTAGTAGACCTCATTCAAATCTCCCCTTCATTTTGATGGTCTTGCTGCTCTTTTTGCAATATTTATTTAGAAGACTGTAAATTGCGCCCTTAAGTCTGTAGACGTTGGCTTTCACATCTTCTTAGCTGTTTTATAATCATATAATCACTGAGGCAGTCTACAATACATTTAGAAAAGTTGGGCCCTTATTTCTGTCAGACAAGATGCTGGTTAAGAGGAATATTACTTCTAAGCAGCAGTTTCTGAGTGTCGCTATGTTTGGTGGTTTCAGGAATGAGTCACTTAATGAATATTGTTAGTGATCCTGTTCGATTCTCTGTGGAAACATATGCTGTT